CATTTCACGGGACATGGTTTGAACGTGCACACATGGATATAGTGAAAATTTGTCGCTTTATTGCTTATTTTCTTTATATGTCACCACCACGTTATAAATTCTTAATGAATGAGTTACAAATCAGCGACCATACAGTTGTAGATTGGACAAATTTTTGTCGAGAGGTAAGAAATATTTTTAAAATTTAAACATCAACGTCACATTTGTAATGTTCTATTTGTAAATTTTTAATTGTAATTATAGTTACTTCAACAATGGGTAGTAAAAATCAGACGCCAATTGGTGGATCACAAAAAATTGTAGAATTGGATGAAGCTAAAGTAGGAAAGCGGAAATATAACAAAGGACGGATACTTCGAGGACAGTGGGTTTTTGGCGGTATAGAACGAGGAACGAAAAAAATTTTTATATTACCTGTACCAAATCGACGGACTGAAACTTTGGTTCCTATTATAGAAAAATACGTAGCAGCAGGATCTATTATTCACACAGACAATTGGCGTGCATATGATGTTTTGCGTAATCGTAACAATTATACACACAAAACGGTGAATCATTCAGTTAACTTCGTGGATTCAATAACTGGTACTCACACGCAGAACATTGAAAGACTATGGAGAGAAATGCGAGCAAGTATTCCTCGCTATGGTCTACGTGATTACCATTTTGAATATTATCTGGCCGAATTCTTATTTAAAAGAATACACAATTTCGATGATCGTATTGATACATTATTCTGCAGTTTTACCGATTAAACGACACTCGGTATATAACACCTGTCTTGGCAGGGACATTCAGATAGGATTACATTAATAAGAGTCGACCAGGTAACAATACTGGCTACGATCAGTACGTTCTGTAAGACAATCGAAAGAACGTTCACAATAAAGCAATCGAAGAAAGTTCATAGGAAAATTACAGCTACTTTAAAGGTAAATTAATATATACAAAAAATTTAGAAATTATTTTAAAAAAAAATTAAATTTAGAAGATGAGACCACCAAGCAGGAGTGTAGAGGAGGACAACGAGTATTACGGACCAATTGATGGGGCAAGACCTCAAGATCATTCAGATACATATTGGATGCTGCTACAAAGCAGCTGTTTACAGAAAATAGTGAATGAACCAATATATGTATCAAAATTTTATTCGTGGGTGAAGTTATGTGAAGTGTGTTACAGTGAAAGACAAATTAGAGGAGTAGATGCATATGAGTTAAAAGAGAACTATCACGCAATAACATCTAGACTACACAGACTCACTTGGGAGCACAAGACTGGTTGCATAAGGTGCAAAAAAGAACTAATGTGGGTAAGACCAGCCCATCAATGCCGAGATTGTATAGAAGAATACTTAGTTAAGGAAGATATGTTCAATATTAGAGAAAACGCGAGAATGAATTACGAGACAGAGACAATTAAACGCTATTAAAAAGAAAAATTTTAAATCTAAATTTAAAAAAACATACTAACAAACATTATACTCTATATACCATATAAATCATACATTATATCATATTATATCATATTATATCACATAACTAATAATTTACATTATGTTTTACAAATATTAAATATAATCTTTAAATACACAAAAAAAAGAAAAGGAAATAAGTGGGAAATATTTATTAAATATTTATAAAGTTTATTAATTTCATCTAAATTTTCGTTGAAGGTTTATTGATTTCATTAATACTTTCGATTATATTCCCCTTTATTTATTTTTTTTGACAATTCCAATTTAAACCCTAATTCATAATAGTAGAGATATTTTTCAAGCTTATAAGGCTCATACGTGGCAACATAATGTATCACGTTACCACGTATGACTTAAGGGGGAAGGTGTTACAGACATATAATTTTAACTATAAATTATTTAAATTAAATTTTTAAAAGAAACTCCTGAGAAATCGGAACATTCCTTGATATCGATCATTTATCGGATTACAACTCGCGACGAAGGGGTACCTCGGTAGCAGTGACAACTGTTACCAGGGTAGAGTTGCGGTGAAGGAACGGAGAACAATACCTTCCTCCTCCACTTAAAGAAATAACGTAGGGGGAATTTACTATTTAAATGCGAGTAGGATCGAGTCGAGGATCCATTAATTCTTTAACAATCCATAAACTCACGACTCACTATCTCGACAAATAGAGTTAAAACTAAATCTGAGAATCGTCTTGACTCGGACCTATATCTTAAATTGTTGATTCGAATTTCAAGAAGTATTGGACATTTAAGAATAAAGTAAGAGTTATATTAAGAGAGATAATAATTAATTCAATCCAAGATCTACTCTTTCACTTTCTCTAATCGCTGACAAAGTGTGGCGGACAGAATTCTCTATTCTTCTCTAATCGCTGACGTAGAGTGTGGCGGACAGAAACCAACATCCCTACTCCATGACCAAAAGGAAAGGAGGAAAACGAATTCAAATCAAACGCGTTAAATACCAAATCAAGCAGGCGCTAAACTCTAATAAAGATCCTATACCTTTTCTGCTTAAATTAAGAGAACTTGAATCCGAGGACAACGCCTCAATCGCGAAATCACAGAATTATAAACTAGTTCCAATAGATTTCAAGGTCAATTACTTAAATTATAAGTTTATTAATAAAGACGATCCTCGTTACAAAGTTTATCGAAATCGTTATCTCTTTGGTCCGGAAGATTGATTAAAACTAATTAATTCACACAATCGAGTCCAAATCCCCGGAAAGCACTTAAATGTGTTGACCGAAAAACGGACGAAACACATACTTGACGGAACGTGACACTACCTAGATACTTTGATTGATCAGTTACTTATCAGACACCCTGTATAAAAGGTTTTAGCTGTTGCTTGCTGTTTGTTAAAAAGTTATTAACAAAAAAGTAATAATTCTGCATACATTTCTCTGCTTTAATATTAATGTGTTAAATTTTCTGCTTTAAAAAGAAAATTTAAATGGAGAAAAAGAACAAGTCGTCTTGCAAAATATACAGGGTGTTAATAAATCATCGCATTGGCAGTATACCGTCGGATAGCATGCGAAAATCTAAGAAAAATGCCGTTTGTTACAAGTCGATCCGATCATTACGTTCCGAGTAATTAATTATTGAAAATTAATAATTTGGTCCAATTAGCGCGCGAGCCCAACGAACAGGAGAAGAGGCGCACGCGATGGGCACGCTTGGCCGTCTAAAGGCCATTCTACAATTGCGTAAACGTAGTTGTAGGGTTGTAGGAGTAGAAGTAGTAGTAAGTGTTGTACATCAAAGTAATATATAATAGAGTGAGATACGTCGTAATTGAAGTGAATGATTGGTTAGCTTTTACGTCCTACATCGTTGTAGTCGTGAAAGATGAAGTTCAGCCATCTTTTACAACAGGCTTTACAATCGGAGATGCTAGTTTAAAACTGTGTTTTACAACACTGTACAACCGATAACAGGTGTATACGTCCGCGCGCGCTGGCGGCTACGGCCGAGCGTGCCCATCGCGTGCGCCTCTTCTCCTGTCCGTTGGGCTCGCGCGCTGATTGGCTCAAATTATTAATTTTCAATAATTAATTACTCGGAACGTAATGATCGGATCGACTTGTAACAAACGGCATTTTTCTTAGATTTTCGCACGCTATCCGACGGTATACCGCCAATGCGATGATTTATTAACACCCTGTATATGTGGAGACTGTGTGCTCCATCTGGAAAGTCGCAAACCTATATGGAACCGTATAACGCGTGGACCTAGTTTTACTCCAAAAGCAGGAGTCGGTGTGGGATAGATCTCTCTTTACATACATAAAAAATTGCAAATCCATGTGAAATCGTACAACACCTGGATCTACAAAGGTTGAATGAAGAGTAACGCCTCCACTTTCGTAACTTGAGTTTGGAAGGGAATATTTTAATAAATCAAACGCAGAAATAATCCTTAGAATGTGATCTTTATTTCTGCGTTTGATTTATTAAAATATTCCCATCCAAACCCAAGTTACGAAGGTAGAGGCATTACTTTTCATTCAACCCTCGTAGTTTTACGGAGACAATGGAAATCGGTATAGGGTAGATCTTGTTGTGTGGAACATCGTAAACCTATGTGGAACTGTACAAAGCTGGGACTTAGTTTTGCTTCAAAAGCAGAATTTGTTGTGGGATGGATCTTGCTTTGCGTGGAGAGTCAAATCTATGTGGAACGGCACAAGAGTGAAAGTAGATTCACTATGTGGAACTGCATAGCAGAAAATTAAACTAAAGCAGAGAAATTCTTACGGAATTATTAAACATCTTTTGTTAATAATTTTTTAATAAACAAACGACGACTAAAACCTTTCAAAAGTCATTCAGGAGAGTGACCTTTACGTATTACATACATGACAAGGTCAAAGCCATTAGGGATTGCGTCCCATCATCGGTTGTATATTTACCGGAAAAATTACAAAGAGATAAAAACGTTTTAAGTAAAAAAATGGCAGTTTAATTTTGAAAGTAAAACTCTCTAAAGTTAAACTGTTATGAAAGAGAGAAAAGAATAGAAAAATAAAAATAAATAGGGAAATAGAAAAAAGTGGAAAAGATACATATTAATAATTACAACAAAAAAACATGGTACAATTTAAGTATATCTAAGGAAAAACTACAGAAATATAAACGGAAATCAATAGAAAAAAATAAAGCATTATTAGCATTTTGCAATCATTATATTGGAAATAGCACAGAAATACATGAGTAGTTGTGTTTACCACAGTCAATAGACCACTTGAAAGTAAAATTGTTTCAGCATTTCATATACAAATTAATTGTGTATAGAATAAAATAGAAAACTTTATAATATTCTAATATTATGTAATAAAATAAACATTACATTACCGTTTCCAATTGCTCGTTCAATAACATCCATATAATTATGATCTGTCAACTTTATAATCTCGAGTTTGTTTGCTTTTTCGATATTGCGGATCCACTTATTTATCTGACTTTGCGGATCAACAAATAAGCTCCATCTTTTTGAATTATCCATTATTATAGCATTCTCAACTGAAAAGATATCTTGAGGTAAACCATGCATGTGCCATGAATTGATCTTTATTTCTGAGCCCAACACCTCGATGAAGTTAAATTGTTGTGAACATGGTACGTTTGAATGTGCTATATGCATCTGCCATTTTTTTAAGTTTTGATTGCGAAAATTAGCCGTGAGAGGTCCTAGATACGCAATCATTCCGCAAGATATTAAAATGTCACCAGGCAATGTCTCAAACGACACTTGTAGTTTCTTCGCAGCAATGGTCCAGCGATCTTTCTCTCCGCCTAGTCTATTGATCAACTTTTCTGCGCGGATTAATTTATTTCTGCAACTCATCATCTATCACAAACAACTATTATTACATGCTTATAATATATACATATGAGAAATACACATTTATTTATTTATGATATATAATAGCATGGAGATTAAATTTACATGCAAAAGCAATAGAAGTAGAAAATATTGAATAAAACTCATTTTTCTTAGTTTAAATTAGGTTCTAATATAAATTACTCAATATTATAGTAAATAATGAAACATGACATTTTTTTTAAACAATAATTAAAAACACATGATTTTACTGAAGAAATTTATATAATAAAGTTAAAATGATCTTTGTTTCTTAGGAAATAACTTTATATTTTTATTTACATTGTGATAAAAATTGTTTCTGAAACAATTTGGTATACTGGTAGAATATTATTTAAGAAATGTGCAACTTTAAATCAAGAGTTAATGTCATGTCTCTTGTCAGATATATGTATGCCCTATAAATAATATTTACACAAGATTAATTGAACCGAGATATTATTTATCGAGTATAAATAATAAAATGTAAAATTAATTAAGTATATTAAATAGGCCGTTTTTAATTACAAAAACATTTTTTAGTTTTGAAATATTTATTAATTCAAGCTATTATAATTGTCAAATAATAAATTTCATCAAACCAGCGGTAAATGTGCATAAAAAGACCCCACCTGCCGATGACCTTGACCTTGACATATGTTGTCAAGGTCACCCTCCTGAGTAACTCTTAGAAGTTTTTAGCCGGCGGTCGTTATTCGTTAGAACTTAGAAAGTTATTAACAAAAAAATACACTTTTAACGAAAGAATTGATCATGCTTTCTTTCGTATTATGCGTAGAATGTATTCGCTATAAAATTAATACACATAATAAACACTAATTAATTACGAGCACTTTCTAATTTATTATGTATATACAGGGTGAGTTATAACATTTGTCCCAGAGCTCGTGAGAAGGTAGAACGGATCGAGATGAACAGAAAAGTCCTGAACCATTTGCAATTTTCGCAATAGTTAACGAGTGAT